GAAATGATCATACTTTGTAGTTTGGGGTCAATATTTTTTTTCAGCAAGAATGACAGTAAAAATTACTGTAATAACTTTTAAACTGTTACAAAAAATCTATTCAAATAAATGTTGTTCAAAACATGTATCAGTTTATTGGGCAGCACAACTGTTTTAATAAGGTTATATGGCACCAAATCTGCATATTAGAATGATTTCTGAAGGATCATGATGTGACACTGGAGTAATGACTGCTAAAAGTCAGCTTTGCCATCACAGGAATATATTAATAAAAATATTTAAAATTGTATTAATATTACACAATTTCACTGTTTTTATTTTCAAACACATTAAAAAATCTTACCAACCCCAAACCTCTGAACAGTAGTGTATTTTATTACATGACAATTTGTAATACTGTGAATTCTGATTGGTCAATCACAGAATTTCTCAGTCTAACTGTATAACTGACTAATTTCCTACACTGCTTTGTTTTTTCTCACATAATTTCAAGTCAAATCAATATTTGATGTCCTTTTATTTTATTGCTGTGTAACACACTCTATTTCACAGAACTCACACTTGAATCCAAAACCCAGTTTTGGTAGATGATTACATTGATGATTACATGCATAAGTGGCACCTGAGCATGCATCTGGCTGTCTAAAAATGGATTTTGAAATTCAATCCCCCCCCATCCCCCCAAAACATGCAGATTCATACATCTGATTCATACAACAAAACAATCTTGCAATTCAAACTGGTGGATTCAAGACAAAAAATATTAAGCCCTCATTCTTGTTTTCTAAACCATGTTAAAGATAAAACGTTATGCCTTTCCAAATCCAAATGCTCAGGCTCCATTCTACCTTTTTTTAGATAATACTTTTTTAAAAGTTCAAATAAAACTGACATGAATCAAACTGAACCAATGCGGTTGACAGCTGTGAAAAGAAAAAAAATAACAAAAACAGTAATTGTTTTCGTTTCTAGAACTTTCTAGAACTAGGATTTCTTTTTACATAAACAACAGTTGACACTGCTGCTCCAAACCACCCACGATGCAAAACCTTAGTCCTCATCCAACTGGAAAGGCATAGTAGTAGTTGCAATAAACATTTCACCAAGCAAACTGAAAAATCATTAGTCTCTTTGTTAACTCACTGTAATCAGTAGTATCTTTTTAACTCACTGGATCCTGCATAGATCATGTCCGCCTTTAATGAATGAAAATGAAATCATTTGCAAAACTGAGTCTGTGACCAAATAAAATCTGCTATTCACTCTTTCCTTTTTCACAAATAACTACCACACTGAAAAGCAGAGGTGAAAAAACTGTTGCAGATTTTGGAAAGCTTGTTTTACTAACATCCTTATACAAAACTGCATGAAACTTACATGCCCAGAGTGGGAATCATATCTTAAATAAATCAATACTTAAGAAGATATATTGATATAATAATTTGAAACGTATTTTAAAGGTGTAATTTACCCAAAAACTTGCTGAAAATGTACTTACCCTCAGGCCATCCAACGATGTTTCTTCATCAGAACAGATTTGGAGAAATTTACCATTACATCACCTGCTCACCAATGGATCCTCTGCAGTAAATGGGTGCCATCAGAATTAGAGTCCAAACAGCTGATAAAAAAACATCGCAATCCACAAGCAATCACCATGACTCCAGTCTATCAATTAACATCTTATAAAGTGGAAAGCTGTGTGTTTGTAAAATAAAACAAAAATCCATTATTGAGGTGTTCTGGCCAAAACACCACAATAAAATGCATAATGATTCTTAAGAATGCTTCCTCCATTGATAATAACACTTCATCCAGTGAAGAAGTCTTGGACTGTTTTCGCTGCTTGATCTATGCAAATTTCTCTCCTGATTCAGACAAAAAGACTTTTTCACTGAAGAAAGCAATATTAAGATTAGAGGACTCATATTTTAGCTGGAAGCAACTGTTTGAAATCTTAATGACAGATATTTTTTTTTATTACAAACTCACAGCTTTTCAAATCACTAGAAGTTAACTGATGGACTGGAGTGGTGTGGATTACTTGAATATTGTGATGTTTTTATCAGCTGTTTCAACTCTCATTCTGACGGCACCCATTCACTGCAGAGGATCCTAGGTGAATGGATCCTAGGATGCTCAATTTTGCCAAATCTATTCTGATGAAGAAACAAACTCATCCACATCTTGGATGGCCTGAGGGTGAGGAAATTATTACATTTTTTTTTTTTTTTACCAGACTTTCATTTTCGGGTGATCTACAGTAGTACTTAAGACTCAATTTCTTGGTGCAATGACCAAGTTTGAGTTGCATTAAACTGAAAAGTGCAGTTTTTCTATGCAGAACTTCTGCTAACAAGGTCTTCTAGACAAAATCTTCCTGGGTGCCCTAGTCTGCTCTGGGCTAGATTTCAGTGTGCAACTGTGACTAATATTCGGCAAGCAATTGTTTGTGTGCGTGTGGGTCTGTGAGTGAGCACTGTGAGCTGTCTCTCTCTCTCCCTGCCATCACCCAGCCAGTTCAGCCTGTTCCCTCAGGTAAAAAAACAACTCCCTCATCCATGCATCCACCCATCCACGCACTCATCCAATGATCCACTTATTCAACCCCCTCCAAAAATGAGCCAACCCTCTGGGGTGCCATTACTCCCAGCCCTGCCCTAATGCACACCTGTCTCCAGGGTCAAACCAAACCTCAGAGAGGAGGTGGGGGGCATTGGCACAATTTAAATATACAGTAGGTACTCCTGGGTAAAATCAAGGGTGCTACTACTCACCATTTTGATGAGCTGTCAAAAATCTGACAAACACTGAGAAATTCTGCAAGCTCCTCCGGTACTGTGATAAAGCTTGTAAAGTTCAGATTATACTGCCATTACCATGAAAAAAAAAGTGTATCATTCAGACTTGATCAAAAATTATAAACTAGCATAGACATCAGTATAAAACATGTCACCTTAGTGGATCCTGCATGCTACTTCATGTTACTACGATATTGAAAGATCCTGACAGTTTGTCACTGAGAGGGTGGATTAAAATATTCCAGGCCAACTCTACGCATCCGAAATGTGTCAGAATTTACCATCAAACCTTTCCCTCAAATGTCAAACAGTCATGCATGCATATTCAGACACTATATGTGTTTAAAAGATGATTTCTGACAGCTGTGGAGGAAGTGACCCTTCACTCTCACACAGCATCTAAACTCATCACTTGACATTTCCTAACAAGGCTGTTGCTGTTTTCTAATCAAGAATTTACACATTTTCCTCAACTGTGAGTTAGAATCGTTCTGCTCCGTCGTGAATAACAAGGATTCGCAACAGCTGCTCTCCATGGTGCTGAAACACAGGTGCGCCTGGGCTCAGCTCAGGTCATCCTCCACGCGCTTCCTCCACCGCCTCACATTCGCGTGTTATTCTTAATGCCAGTTTTTCAGACACATTGACGCTTACGTGCTTAACACGACTGATTCAGTGAATTAAATAAGAGCGATTTTAAAGGATATTAACATAAATACAGAAATTCATAATTCTTAAATGTGTTTTCAGTCGGTACAGGTTGTTCCTTAGGATTTCACTTGTTGATTTATAATAACAACAACATTTCTAAAGAGTGCAAACTGTAAACAACTGCCCAAGACAACGTTCAAAATGGTCTAATGTTATTTTTTGGCGTTTTCTTATAAGTAGCCTATACCGTTTCAACAAGTCAAATATTTGAGGACCTCTCAAGCTCCACATACATGATTCCAGTCGACGGATGATGTTTATCACGATTGTTATTTTAGGCATTGAGTGGCGACAGAAGCTCAAGGTGAGCTTGAAGGCCCTACCTTTATAGATGAGGATTCATCCCGAGCGCAGGGGCGAAGCAGCTGTCGCCATGTTGACGTCTCCGGCTATTTCCATTCCGCAGGCTCGAGGTCCACCCAAACCGCAACCAACTCCGTACATGACACCATTTACACGGCCATTTCTAGAGCTTTATGTTAAAAAACCACCGCCCGGGGCTACAACAGCTCTACATTTCCACCCCTGACGACACCGACTGAAGAACCGAGATTGATGTAATTCCACGTAACGAGAAACCCACCCAAAGGGTTAAACAATGTCTAGGCGACAGAGAAAACGTCTCTGGGCGTGCCTTTTTTTTTCACTGACCAAAAATGTCTCCAACGTAAATGAGTTTTAGAGGCATAAAGGTTCGCATTAACACCGCAATTTGGGCACGTTTTGGCGTCCTCGGATTGTGTTTTTCAACCCTTTCTCGTGTACCGCCAGTGTGCGACGGTGGGTGGGTGTGGAAATGTGAGGGAAGGAGGGGGTCGCGATTGCTCCTCTTTTCAATGACAATCATTATCAATATAATTAACGTGCTATGTGGAAATCTGGGGACGTCCTCAAAACAAGAGTTGTCGTTCTATTAATCTTAAAACAGTCGACCGCAGTCCTTCGTTCAAACAGCATCTCCCTAATTTTGATAGATCAGCCAAATTCAGCACCACCATCATCATCATCTCCATAGGCAACCAGCGGACAGAAACCCAAACATCTGTCCAGTTTTTTACATTCACAAATCCTTCGTAAAATCCCTGATATGGCTAAAGCGATAATGCCAGCGATCCAAATCCCGTTTAAACTCGTTATAAGTGGCTGGATGATCCGAATTACTGCGCAAACATATGCCTCAGCCTCCGTGATCTTTATATGGATACGATTAATTATTTTGTTTCACTTCAATTGATCATAATCCCATTCTGTTTGATGTTGAGCAGTCAGAGGATGGCCTTTAAATGAATGCATCATCATATTCTAGGACACTAAGTCCTAATCACCCAACTGTCTTTTCACAAACAAATACCAATTTTAAGATAAATATATAGGCCTATTTTTAGGCTATCAGTGTTACAATATTATTTTCACGATCTTTGCGGTCGTAATAGCATATGATGGGTTATAAACCAAAAACATTATTTTCTTTTGCCAGGCCTTTCTAGACGTTTCTGAATTGATCTTTTACTCACCATAGCAATGCCTGTCAGGCTCGAACCTGGATGACGGTGATTTCCAATAACTTCGTTTTTACCGTTAGTTCCGTCTATTGTGTTTTTCTCCCACTAAAACTCCCGAAATCTCCCACTGTTGTTGTCAAACAGATCGAGAGGACGCGGCGATGTTTTTATCCATTGAAAGGTGCTCTCAGCTGTCGTTCGTCTCCCCAAATATCACGGATGATAGTCGCTTCCGGTTATCGGTGGCTTGGGAGGTGGGAGTGACGCGTGCGCGAGCCTCACGACTCGACTCCAGACCCGCACGTGAGGCCCCGGCCGACCACCGTTCAGAAAACACGGAGGTTAGACGCGGTTGCACAGAGAAGAAATGTCAAGCATCTTTTTTTATTTATTATTGATTACGTCCTAGGCATTTCACGGGTAGGCTAGTATGTGTGGCATCAATGGTTAATTCACACTTTTTATTGAGAAAATGTCATTCTAAATAGAGGAAATTAGGCTATTATTCTAACAATGATTATTTTGTTAAAAAGTTCAAAACTTTCTAGAATAGGCCTAATAGTTTTTGCTCCAGACTAAAATGTGTTTTAAACGTTAGAAATGTACATAGCATTTTTGCATATTACCTTTCACATTATTGTTCCTCCAGAAATTACTTTATTTTTCACATTGGTTTAACTATTTACATTTCAAAAGGGAATAATAGGGCATTTAAATGACAGGGTATGGCATGTTGTCACACAAGATTAAGGTGGTTTGAGTGGAAATGCTCAACAACTTTTTGTAACCTTTTAATGTGCCTATGCAAAAATTAAAACATTTTAATTTTATATGCAGATATAGCTTATTTAACATTTACATTTACCTTCTATATCTAAAGTTGTATCTTCTGTTACTGTTTTACACTTTATTTTGTAAGTAGGCCTACACACTCAGAATAATATTGTGTCCAATGTTTTCATGCAAATTAGTAATAAAGGGAAGAACTGGGAAGAATAAACTATAGAATAAATTACCCTAAATATACTTTTAAAATGTACCACATTTGTATGGACCACAGAAGGAAAGTCTATGTATGTTCTCTCTGGGGACAAAAAAAGTTTCAAATAAGATTAAATGAGATTTAAATAATTTCTAGCCTGTTTCTTTGCCTATCTAGGACTGTATTTTACTTTCAAACACCTGTACAGGTTCAGTAAATACTATTGTGTTATATTGTATAAGGATTGAGGCCGTTCGTTTCTCAAATCCCTAAATTACCCAGACACGGTCAAAATGAATAATCCTTATCCATGCTTGAAAGAGGCTGCTGGCTAACACTGCACCTGAGGCATGGGAGAGGCGCGCTGCTCCAAACAATGCGTGTTCGCCTTCTGCTGGCGACAAGGAGGGATGGCGGCGTTTCTCACAACTTCACTATCACATGTAATATATTTATATAATTTAACATAGTTAACTTAATCTATATCACACAGAGTAGGCCTACCGTTTTTCTGCAGATATCAGCATGAACACATTTAATAATCATTTTATACAAGTTCAGTAAAGCAATAAGTGACTTTACATTTTAGATATAATATTGCTTGTTTTTGCTCAATTTTGCCAACGAAAATAGTTCCAAACAAAGATCACAGCACTGTTTTGCGTCTCTGAGCAATGGACGGTGTTTACTTATTGAATGAATCAGCTTTTTGAACGAATCGGTTGAATAAATGATTCAGTGATTCACTCATTAACACACCCTGTGTTCCATTCGTAAGGGCTCATCCCTATACCCTAATCCCTTCTTTTTTTGACCCTCTAACTCTAGCACTCTCTATTCTAATTCTATTCTTTTAAAAAATTGCTTTTTTAACACTAGCTTTTCTAATATTTTTGTATCTTATCCATGCTTGAAAGAGGCTGCTGGCTAACACTGCACCTGAGGCATGGGAGAGGCGCGCTGCTCCAAACAATGCGTGTTCGCCTTCTGCTGGCGACAAGGAGGGATGGCGGCGTTTCTCACAACTTCACTATCACATGGAGAGGCTTCATTAATTGCCAAGAAACTTCGCGCGTTCTCTTCGGTTGTTCATTACATGTTAAGTATGGATGAATGCACTTGTAAATTTGTACGGTCTCTGTCTTAAAAATACACACTCAGAACAGATCAGTGATTTACTGCGTTACAGCGGCTGTTGTGTGCCTCCGCAGGGCTCGTGGTGATGCATGACGCATCGCGCTGGTTTTGAAATTCTCTGAGCTTCCCTCATTAAGCGCTCTCGCCCGCGGGTTGTCATCGAGGCATAGGGCGTACTGAAGGATCACCAGCCCGCCGAGCGGACAGAATACGGGTAAACTCTCTCAATGGAGCAGCTGGTTATGACTGAAGTGTTTACCCTGCAGACCGGATAAATAAACCGATAAATAGGCTACGTTCACCGAAAGGGTCCTGCGTTCTGCATTTTTAATGAGCCGAAAAGAATGCACGTCACACCTCTGTCTGAATGAATCAGTCGTTTGAATGAATCGGTTGAATCTCAATGACTCACTCATTAACAGTTACTTGCTGTCACCTACTGGCGGTTTAGTAATATTCTAAACGGTGACTTCAACTTCTACCAAAGTCATTTTCTGGTAAGATATCTGTACTTTTACTTGAGTATGGCATTCAGGTAATTTATACACCACTGATAATAAGATATACGTTTTGAAATATACAGGCATTCCATAATACTGGAAATTTTGCCACAGTATTTTTATTGTGAATTTCTGGCAACCACAGCTGCCATGTTTTTACAGTCAAATCTAACTTTTTTTTTTTTTGGAGTACTAGGATGTAAAATTGCTCTACGTTAAAGAATCACCCTTAAATGACCTAAAAAATGAATTAACAAAAAGCAAAAAAAAGGGGCCTCTAACATTTGCTTGCTCTATTCTTTTTCTATTCTATCTGTTTTTCTTTTTATTTATTATATAATTTAAAAAACCCTTGCTATGTGTACTGTGTTAAGCTAACTGAGACTTGTTATAGCACTTGTATATCATTGCTCTTTTGTTGATTTTGATTGCTTCCATTGTCCTCATTTGTAAGTCGCTTTGGATAAAAGCGTCTGCTAAATGACTAAATATAAATGTTAAAAAGGGTATATAAAATGACAGTAAAAATAGTTTATTTTTCTGTTATTCTTCCATGTGGGTTTTTGTGGCCCTGTGGACTTTTTGAAAATGTGATGTGTTTGAAAAATAGGTGATGAAAAATATATATATTTTTTTAATCAAATACATTTAGTTTTTTTTTGTTTTTTGGTAATACTAGGGCTTATACAGCACATTTTGTAGTAGCCTAGGCTATATATTAGGCTATTTACTCAAAATACACAGTTACGTAATATGTTCACACCTTTGCATAAATTCGCAACTAGCTTAATTAGAAATGATCTATATTTTAATATTGTTTACAAGTGATATTTACCTTGTATTTTTCAGTGTCACATCACATGCTTCCTGTTTCTTCTCAAGTATGCTCTACCAATCAGGCTTGGTAAACAAGTACACTAGCCTTTGAAAAAACTTTATTAATTGTTGTGGTCAGGATGGAAAGGACACAACTCTTCAGGAACTGTAATAATTTGTTTTTACATTTACTTTTTCATTTAGGGGATGCTTTTTATTTATCCAAAGCAACTTATGAGGAATAGGCAACAACAAAGTATACATTTTCAGAAAATATTGAAAAGTTTTTTATTTCACCCTTTGTTTAAATCATCATAGTTTTAAACATACAGTAATTTAGAACTGTAGTCAGTTTTGATGTTAATTATATGATATATATTATTTTGTATTATAATATTTATGTTTTAGTTAAAGAATGAAACCGTTTACACTAGGCTAAAACAATGAACAATATTTAATATTAAATCTTGAAAATCTTGAAAATGAAAAATCACAAAATCATAACCTTTTAATGTGACCTTCATATAGAAAAAGACAGATCTAATTTAATAAACATCAACCCTTCTCTGTAAGTTACCATACCATATATCATGACAAATTGTAAATGGTTTAAAGGGGTCATATGATGCTTTTTTAAAGATCATTATTTTGTGTATTTGGTGTAACAGAATA